TATATATATATATTATATATATATATATATATATATATATATATATATATATATATATATATATATATATATATATATATATATATGTATATATATATATATATATATATATATATATATATATATATATATATATATATATATATATATATATATATATATATATATATATATATATATATATATATATATATATATATATATATATATATATATATATATATATATATATATATATATATATATATATATATATATATATATATATATATATATATATATATATATATATATATATATATATATATATATATATATATATATATATATATATATATATATATATATATATATATATATATATATATTTAAAATAGTTACTATTTTCCCAAATGTATATAACTACTATTGTAAGAAAATATCAGAATTCGGTACATACTTTCTCTATTATCTTTGCTTGAACTGAGACAATCTAATCTTGTTTATATGAATTGAGCCTGCTTCCGATCAGGGGTCCGTTCTTCGTACGTGGATTACTCAGTTAGCTGGATTTGGATGTTGACGATTTGACATGATCCAGGATCGTTTCGTTCTTCAAAGCTGATCTGAGAGTTGTTGTCATGGCAACAGTTCTGCTAGGTCAAACCTGATCGGAAGCAGGTTCAATTCATATAAACAGGATTAGATCGGGTCAGTTCAAGCAAACATAATACAGAAAGTATGTTCCGAATTCTGATATTTTCTTACAGTAGTAGTTTTATATACTTGGGAAAATGGTACATATTTTTTAACTATATATATAAAGTTATGGTCATTAATAAAATAAATAAAGTTATACATATTAATAAAACTTATGCAATCTGCACCCTCGAAATGAAAGTACAAAGACTACCATCTGGTGCAAAGAGAAAACTTATTGATATGAACTTTTTAGATCGCTTTAGTACAAATTGTGTATAATAGAAATGCACAATATGTGACTTTTTTTAAAAGCAATAATACATTTATGCAGTCATAAACATATTTTGATAGTTAATATGCAGTGATTTGATGCTTCACAAAAGTTGCAGACGCCTTTACCAATATGAAAACGCTTTTTTTTAAACAACCAGTTATTCTTTACACCGATTAAAAAACGGCTACTATAATAAAGCAAATATTTTCTAAATGTGGAACTAAACACATTGATTTGCATTGAAATACATGATAAATACTCTTGACACATGAAAGTGTAAAGCCTGCAGCTCACAACAAATGTGGAAAGTTCTTGCGTGTCATATTAAACAAGCCGTTTACTGCTAATTTGATGTAATTTTGCTCACATGGATAATTGAATATTAATCAGATGATGTCATTACGCTGCTGTGCCGTCAGCCAACCGTTGCATTGCTGATCATGATTTCGAGGATCGATAGATCTGTCCTTCACAACACACGCAGCGATCTCAGATCAGTTTATCCAGACATTCTAATCTGATTCGCAAACTTTTGAAGAACCAAATTAGCGAGAGATCAGTTATCAAGATTAAAAGATCCGGGATCTGCCAAATAATCTTAGATCATTTAAGCGAGGTACGAAGAACGAACCCCAGGTTTGAGCTAGCAGAACTGTTGCTATAACAACAACTCTCAGATCAGCTTTGAAGAACGAAACGATCCTGGATCGTGTCAAATCGTCAATATCCAAATCCAGCTAACTGAGTAATCCACGTACGAAGAACGGACCCCTGGTAGGCATTGACTTCCATTCTGTAGCATGTTTTTTTCCTTCCATGGATGTCAATGGCTACTGGTTACCAATGTTCATTCTTGGTTAAACAAATCAAAGTTGAGTACTTGAGGGTGAGTAAATGTTGAGCACATTTTCATTTTTGAGAAGATGATTAATTTAACTGCTTATAAATGTTCATTGTGTTGACAAACACTTTTTAATCTCCTAGTTTTCCAGCATTAAGACTCGTTCTGTCTGTGTTTGGTGGTGGTTTTTGACTGCAGTTGTCCTCTGTATTGTGACAGAAATCCTGCATGCGCTGGTGTCGTCTGCTGTGAGCCGAGATGAAGGATTGGAGGAGCTGCTTTTGTAAGGGATTCTCCGGCTCAAACAGCTGCACGAGTCCCTGCCGCAGAAATGCTTGTTAGGGCAGAATCCAGCCGGAGCTCCAGGGAGCATCCAGACACAGTGACTATTCATAACTGTAATGGCGATCAACCACGTCGACAAAAAACAGCCAGCCGAGCGGAGCGGGAGATGTGCTGAAAACACACATTTATGGGGAATACTTACTGTATCAAAACTCGAAACGCTGTCCAAAAGCATCATTCTAGACCATTGCACACAGACAATGCATCACGTCAAGAGGTTTACTGTAGTAGTGTACTCTAGAACAACAACAAGACAGGTACTTGGATAGTAAAGTGCATTAGAATATATAATATTTAACAAACAAAAAAAAAAAACAGTAAAAATTTTTTAAAACCAAAATGAATGCAAAATAGCATCCCAAATACAATCCTAAAAATGCTTTATGAGCATTTTTTATTTTGTTGCATCAGAGTGGGATCATTTAAATTCATAAAATATATACATTGCATATGTACATATGTATAAAAACATACTTTGAATGTTTTTATCTGTTTTAAATATTTACCAAATGATGTTTAACAGAGCAAGGGAATTTTTACAATATGTCTGATAATATTTTTTCATCTGGAGAAAGTCTTATTTGTTTTATTTCGACTAGAAAAAAAAACAGTTTTATAATTTTTTTTACACCATTTTTAGGACAAAATTATTAGCCCCTTTAGACTATTTTTTCCCCAATAATCTACAGAAGAAACCCTCGCTATACAATGACTTGCCTAATTACCCTAACCTGCCTAGTTAACCTAATTAACCTAGTTAAGCCTTTAAATTTCACTTTAAGCTTTATAGAAGTGTCTCAAAAAATATCTAGTCAAATATTATTTACTGTCATGGCAAAGATAAAAAAAAAAATCAGTTATTAGAAATGAGTTATTAAAACTATTATGATTAGAAATATGTTGAAAAAATCTGCTCTCCGTTTAACAGAAATTGGGGAAAAAAATAAACAGGGGGGCTAATAATTCAGACTTCAGCTGTATATATGCTATTGCATGCATATTCCCTGGAGGACCTCCATTTTAATTAAAATTGTTAATAACATTTGTTCAGAATAAATTTATTCTGAACAAATGTTATTAACAATTTTAATTAAAATGGAGGTCCT